ATATATATATATGCAAACTTTGTTAATAACTCTGTTGAACGTGAGCATAATAACTATAAACAAACCTAAAAACTACAATGCTAATTTTTAGGGATGCACGGTATAGCGGTATTTATATCAGTATCGGCTGAAATTGGTCATTTTTTAGAATATCAGTATCGGTCCGATATGTAAAACTGGGCCCATATTAACATCCGATATTAATTTCCCACTTTTTAGCTTTGTGTTTCTGTTTTGGGAGGGGAGATGGTTGGTTGAGCAGCATCTCATGATAGTGATATTGATGCTGCGCAGTCAGGAATAACTGAAGTAGAGCCATGTCAGAGGTCTTGTTGTTTATTTACGGTATCAAGAAAAGACCCAGGTGTGTTTGTGCGTATATGTATAATATAATTTGTGTGTTTGTGTAATATCGGTAAATATTTGTTATCGTCTATAATAGCAATAATTATATTGGATATCTATCGGCTGAAATTTTCATATCGGAGCATCCCTACCAATTTTTATTAATTTTTGCTTAATATTTTTAAAAACTGCAATAATCATGGTGAAAATATTTCATTAGCAATTTTTTTGCATTCAAAATGATGTCTGGGAACCCTCACTTTATGTTTCGTGACCCACAAAGTGGTCCCGACCCCACCTTTGGGAACCACTGGTCTAAGCAATAGGTTTTTTTTTTTTGCTCATCTCCGTGCATGAGTGTCGGTTTGTTAGCAAAATATCTCACAAACCACTAGACAGTTTTTGATGTACCTTGCAGAAAGGAACCATTAGATGTAGATTTATAACCGATTAAAGACACCGGGTGACCTTATGGTTATGAATTGTTGAATTTTACAGCTATTGAGCTCAAATTTGGTGAGTTTTTGGCGTTCTCCATTCTCAATATGAGACTTGCTTGATTCTTTGGCTAAAAAGTCAGTGGTCGATGCATTCCTCCAAGAAAAGCTGGACCTTTAATTGTGTTTGGTGTTTGTGGGCGCAGGAGATGGTTCGTCGGGGGGAGATACTTGATGACAGCATGGAGGACGAGTTCTACCTTCGCCGTCTAGACGCTGGACTGTTTGTTCTTCAGTTGCTCTGCTATATTATGGTGGAGATCAGCAACTCTGGGATCTCACAGGTACACACACACACACACACACACACACACACACACACACACACACACACAGACTCTTGAGTTTTCTCACCAATCAATTATCGTTAAGGCATTCGATCAAACAAGCTATAAAAGCAAACAGGCATCAGATGGTGCTGTGCCCAACTGGCTCACKGACTTCAGCACTGATGTGGTTTAACTGGGCTCTCAGATTGCTGCTTTTCTTCTCTGGAAGTGAACTAGGCAATTCTTAATTCCTACATTTTGTTTATCTAGTCATTGGCAATTTGTTTTTTTTTTTTAAAGAGCAATAAAAAAGTTATGACTGCCTTTAATTCCTTTTTATTAAACCATCCGTTAGTTTGATATTGATTATTCCTCTCTGCTTTTATTAGTTATATTGATTTTTTTATGTGCATTAATAAAGTAGAACTAAAGCAGGAATTTTCACTTTGTGTTTAGGAAAACGTGAACATTAACCGCGTCGTTTGTTGAACACTTTTTATACCAACAGAGCAGATGATTATTAGATCCTATAAATCCCCTGGTCCTTTGAACTCTTGGAGTCTGATTGGAGTTGGAATGGAATACACTTTAAACACGGACTGAATAAAATACAATCATTCTATTTCAAGTTAGAGGTGCTTTCGAACACATCACCAAGGAAATGTTCTAATATTATTGTTTTTGTTTTAACTTCTAGCTTCATCAGAGGGTTCACCAAATCCTGAATGTAAGAGGAGGATCGATCAAAATCGTGCGCCATATCATGAGAGGTGAGTGAACTTTACTTTACTTTAGGCTTTTCCAAAATAAAATTCACCTGGAGAACCAAATGAAGTGATGTTTTGGCAGTTAAAATATTTTACTACATATTTATTGTCTCTCTTAAAGCAGGATGTTAAAAATAATTAAAGTACTGTGCCACTAATATTTTCTACCTCATTTAAACAGACTTTTATTTTGAAGGTTTACTTGAATATGATTTAATATAGTATCTTAAAACCATCTTTGAAGTAGCTGTACCAGATTAAATATTCCAAACGTGWGGTGATTGGTTGAACACATGAATACAGCACTGGCATTCTTTTTTTTCTAAGTAAAAACAACATGAAACCCACACTCAGTCCTCGTTTGATTTTGACTCAAACTTAAAGCTTATACAATCCCTGTTTGGCCCTTGGCATTACAATTTGAACATAGCTCTGGCCTGCAGCACAATGTTAAGATTTTTCACTTTAGTTGCACATGTTGCCAATGAGAAGGATTTTCCCTTCATGCTGGGACATTTCTTTAAAAATAAGTTGATGGAGGGGGTTTCAGTTCTTCAGATGGCAGAGCTGCCTGAAGATTCTTGTTTATGGTTTTGGTGCCAGCAGCACGACATCTGGTGCGCTTTGCTTGTGGCTGAGTCATGTTACAGTTAGCAGGAAACTGTGATGCTGTGTGAGACAGCTGCTCGTGCTTTGTTTGTGTGCGAGGCCGAGTAGCCACTTGGCAAGCAATAAACATCCTGAGCAGAAGAGTTTTCTGTTAGAAGCCTCGGACTTTGCAGACCTTTTACATTTTCAAAAAATTAAAGTAAAAAAAAGACAGTGTTTGTGTGTTAAAGCTGTAATGAATATTTTTCAAAAAAAAWAGCAATTCCTATTATTTTGATCTGTATTGTAATCACAGTTACTGAAAACTATTTGTTGAGTTTGAAAACGTARCATTTGTTGCATTAAAAAACAGTATTTCCTTGACTGTGCAATTTTCTTGATAACTTTTGTTGAACTTTCACCTAAAATTACTCCCAAAGTATTTATTCAAATGTAAGCTTCTAAGAAACACAAATACATGACAGAGCTGCAGCCAAGATATGAATCAAGACGAGAAAAGAGCACACCCCAAAACTCATTTTATTGGGTTTTGTCGATTACGCAGTTTTTGTGTAATCAATAATACAAATTTTATTTAAGTGCACATAAGATGTCAGACTGTTATTTTGTGTAAACATACAAATGCATGAATCCATTTGTACAATGGCACATATTAGATTTAAAATGAAGATGAAAAAACAAGATATAGTAGTGGTGAAAACATAAAAAACTGTTTTTATTCACATTGCCAGTGTTCGGATAATCAAACTTTACATGGAGATGAATTGTGGCATCATTTGTACATCCAGTTAATCACTTCCTCTCTGTTTGAAGGTCTGTTTGCTATTTGTTTACGCTCCACTCATCCAAACGTATCCCRTCCCGCCATATTTGTTTTCGTTTGGCTTTTCCAGACGTATCAGGTGTGTTATTTTTATCCCTGTGCAACATCCATCCTTCCCTGTTTCATTGTCGGATAAAGCTCGGGGACAAGGTTCCGATCACACACCCTCTGGCCCTCGTGGCATGTAGCGTTTGTAGATAGAGTCATCTGTCACACTGCCAGCTAGTGTGGCAATTCTCCAGCCTTCCTAGTGTGTGTGTACATGTRGGAACTTGTGGCTGAATGCCACTTTTGTTTTCATCTGCATATTTGCAAACACTTGTCTCATTTTTCACACTACGTTCTTGCTTCCTAACAAGCTGGTTTTAATTGTGTGTGTGTTGTTTTCTATTGTAACAGCTACATGTTCACACACCCAAATTTGATGGCCACTTTTCACCTGCGCGTGTAAATAACTGATGGCATTTTAACTTGGCTGACTGAGCAATACCAGGTCTCTGCAGCCTGTAGATGTTTGGAGGTGCACCTGTTCTAGAGTAATTAATTGCCTGCAATTTGTTTACATTCTTCAACTCCTGTAACCGGTGCTTGAACACACACACGCCACTCACTAAGTGCTTGCGTATCGAAGCTTGTAGAGAAAGCACAACCTACCCTGCTTGTGTTTTTAGGCAAATGTGAGTTATTTTAGTCGCTTAATGTTTGGTTTAAATGGAACTGCACGTTTTATTTTCTTCATCTGGATCTACATTCCCAAATGTTCAGGTCTAACCCTGCTGAGGATAAATAATTATTGAAATCTCCTGGTCTTTATTTCTCAAATGCTAACTAGCAGATAAACTCTTAAAGGGGCAATATCATGTAAAATCAACTTTTTTAAATTTTATGTTTTATGTTTACTTTTTTAATTTATGTTATAACGTTATCCTCTCATCAAAAACATGCCCAGAGTCTTGCTTTGACTCAATCTTGCATGYTTGAGAAATCCTGTAGTTTCCTGAGGCAGTCTAGTCTGGTAAAAACCAGACCTTTGTCCTTCACTTTGCTTCGTATGAGGGTCTGGACTCGCGGCTACAGAGAAGCAATTCTTGCTGGAGGCGTGGCCTCTGCTGAAGTTTAAAATGATTGGATCAGTTGGCCGCGACGTGTGTGTGGCAGCTCCACTGCACACCCACCCACCCCGTGCTGAAACGGGCGGGACAGAAGCAGAAGAGGGTTCTTAAAGAGACAGAGGCCAAATTCAAGGTGTTTAGAAAGAGGTATGATGAGAAGAAGAGTTTATTTTCTATTTAAACATATAAACWGCATTTAATAACAACTAAAGTTGACATAGTTACTTTGTTATTGTATAGAATTTAAATATATGCCTGAGAAACATATAATATTGCCCCTTTAAACGTTTGTGGCTGGCTGCCATGGTGGACACAAAGTAAGCGACCAGAGGCTGGTGTGGTGTGAGTGGAAATGAGGAAAGAAATAATGTACACAACCTGGACTACAGGTTTCTAAAAACAGGCAGTGATTTTCAAAAATTGGCCACTCTGCTCGTTTGGATGAGAACATCTTCATCCCTGAAAGAGTGAACGCTGGGATGAAGATGTTCTCATCCTTGATAGAGAGGAACGTTGGTTTGAGAGAGGAGTAAAGGAAGCCATCTTTGTGAAGAAAAACCGTCCACCATTAAACAGAGGTGGAGGCCTTCGTGTCCGTTTGTCCTCCTCCTACAACGCTGTTATTGCAAGTATGACTCCGCCCCCTGTGAGCAAAAAGGTGTGAATCAGGGCCCCAATGATACCAACACAAAGAGGGAAAAAAAAGACAAAAACAAAGGGGAGTTGAGCCCCGCTTGCATTCACTACATACACATAACACGACACCAAATAACCACAGCATCCAAACCAATAAGTCAGGTGATGGGGCACATGACCCTCTATGAACAATAGAACTAATCAAGCCTAAGCATTGGTCCTCTTTTGCATGTGACTRACCTGTTTGTCCACCATGTGGAGGCAGTGCTTATAAGGCTGAGTTCACCTGAAACTCATCAAACTGAAGAAGTCTCTTGGAGGAGAGACAAAATGTTTCACTAAAGAAGAACCCATCCAGAGGACCTACTTATTTTTKATTTTTGATTTTTTTTCTACCTGGATTACTGAGATGCATCAGGACATCTGATATTATTGCTTTTATGGTCGATAACCAATTTTTACCAATATTACACAAACACACTTGTGTCTTTATTTGATTGCTACCTCAGTTATTCCTGGCTGCGCAGTGTCACAAACACCATCATGATCAAACAGATTCCACCCGACCAAACATTTCCCCTCCCAAAACAGAAACATAAAGCTAAAAATTGGGTATATCGATATCGGACGTTAATATCGGCCGATACCGATGATAATGCAGATATATCGTGCATTCCTAATTTAATTTAGTTTATAAAGTTTATTCATTTAAAACAAAACAACATAAATTCAACATACAACAACAAAAAAAAATCAAATTAAATGAAAGGTAGCAGGAGAAGAAAAGAATCTTATGATTTCTGCCACTTTTTCTTAAAAAAATTCAACTAAAAATCTTCAATTTACAACGAACAAAAAAAAAGAGAGAAAAAACAAAATAAAGGTTTAATTCCTTCTTGAGTAACAATTCATGCCTTATACCCATACATATTTCTCCAACAAATTAACCTTTATCATTCTCTTAAATGTACACATTTATCTGGCATTTAACGTCATCTTCCAGATTAATCCATAATTTAATTCCCTGGACTGAAGTACTCCATTCCTTCAAACTGGTTCTAACTTCAGGTTTGACAAACATTTCAMTCCCCTTCAAATTGTAACAACTCACTCTTTTAACAAAATGTAATTGGATGTTTGAAAGTAATGTACCTTTGTGAGCCCTATACGTAACTGACAAAATACTACAATCAACCAAATCAGAGAATTTCAATAACTTCAACTGGAAAAATGAATTTGATGGGTGACTGTAACGTTTTCTGGTAATAATTCTTATAGCTATGTGGGGGATTTTAGTGGCAAAGAGGTTGAAAACATGGAAGTAAACTGCCATTTGTCTGCAGTTATCACAGGATTTGTAGATTAACTGCGTACAAAGACTGGTAGCAAACGTAGCCCTTCATGAAGACAGATTGCATGAAGCTCTGATTACTGCACTTTACTCTGTTTATTTATGCAGCCAACGCTTCTCAGGAATGATTGGAAGTAAAAAAAAAGATTGTCTTGACAAAATTAAATTTAAGACCTTGGATGAAAATCTGGGCATTTTTTTTAGGCCTAAAATTTAGATTTCCAAATTTTAGGCTTTTTT